CAAGGATGAGGAGGACAAGCAGATGGTTGAGGATGAAGAGGGCTCGAACAAAAAATATGTGGGTTATAGGAGTAGAGCTCCAAGCAAAAGAGCAACCAAGAAAGGTAAACTGGTTAGGACACCATTTACTGAGGATAAGAAACGGAGGGCTAAGGGATTGAAGTTGACAGAAGGTGAGCACAAATATGAACCCATTGTTGTTGGTGACACCCCAAAGAAAATAACAGTTTACCATGACGACAGTGTTGGCAAGTGGGATGTGCTAAAAAGCACGTATTTAACAGATGTGGATCGTGCTGCCTTAAAAGAGGTGAATGAGGGTATCCCTGATGTAGGCACGTTTAGCTTATGAGTGTTAGATAGCGCTGGGGCTTTTGTACATAACTACAGAATACCAAAAAATGTTGCAGAGAAACTCTCAGCTGAGGAGAACAAATGGCTCGAGCAGTACTGCAAGGAGAAATGTAGCCCGTAAGTGTTGATTTCAAAATATAAAGCTTTCACGTTTAAATTTAAGCAACAACGGTTAACATGTTAACCACGAGTGTTAACATGTTAACAACAAGAGTTAACATTTTAGCAACAATAGTTAACATGTTATCCACAAGACTTAACAGGTTAGCGACAAGAGTTAACATGTTATACACAAGAGTTAACAGGTTAGCAGCGAGAGTTAACATGTTATCCACAAGAGTTAACACGTTAGCAACAAGTGTTTACATGTTATCCACGACAGTTAACATGTTATCTACGACAGTTAACATGTTAAGTAATTTAATGCTAACTCTTTAATATTAACTGTGAAACTCTGTTTTTTGCTTGTTATGTTTGTGTGTTTAGATGTTAGCTTTCATGTTTTAAATTTTAACCATCCGTAACTTATTGCTTGTCAAGGTACGTATATGTCATAACTACTGATAACAGCGCAATTACATACCCCGAACTACTGTACATGATCCGCGGGGGAAGACTCGATGATAAAGTAACAGAGGAATTCTTAGATAGATTACGGCTATGGCTGCAGTTACCAGAGAACGCTAAATTAAACAAGCAGTACGGGATTGTATCTACATATTTCTGCGTAAGGCCAATCCTCATATAATTAGTTAACAGATAAGCTCTTATATTTAACATGTTAACCAGAATAGTTAACATGTTATCCACAAAAGTTAACATTTCTTCCACAAAAGTTAACATGTTATCTATAAGAGTTAACATATAGCCACAAGAGTTCACATGTTAACTACAAAGGGTTAACATATTAGCAACAAGAGTTAACATGTTCTCAACAAAAGTTAACATGTTTTCACAAAAGTTAACATGTTCTCCATAAGAGTTAACATGTTTTCAGTAAGAGTTAACATGTTTTCCACAAGAGTTAACATGTTTTTCACAAAAGTTAACATGTTCTCCACAAGAGTTAACATGTTTTCAACAAAAGTTAACATGTTCTCCACAAGAGTTAACATGTTTTTCAAAAAAGTTAACTATATGAACTTGAACCATGTTCACATATTAAAGGCCGCTCTTTCTTAATGTGTTAATTTTGTGTAACAACATTCACTCTATGGAGACCAGGCTCATCTGCGGCTATATGAACTATATGAACTTTGTATACAACAACATATTACCGATGGCCGATCAATACTCATATTGCCAATTGTTCGCCATGACCATTGGCATTGTGTCGAAGTTAGATTGAATGAAAATTTAGCGTTGCACTATAGTTCGGTAACTCCCTCTGCTTACCTTGAGCCCGTTAACAAAATTATAAACTTCATGGACCATATGAAGGCCGCATTCGATCTTGAAAAGGTGTGTAGGGCATTTAAATATAAGGAAATCCCATGTGAGTCTCAAAAGGGAAGGTACATTAACATATGAACCTTATTTTATTAAAGAATTTTCGTCACCAAAACTGACCTGTAATATGTATTTATGTTTTGTTATTTGTAGCTACGATTGTGGGATATACGTATACCTTTATGTACGGGCTATCCTACAACAAGGTGATGTTCTGCATGTTACGCCCGCCGATGATTCGTCTGCGGTAGTGCGTGCAAGGCTTGCTGCAGAACTAATAAAAGAAGGCTGGGAATTCAGAAATAGGAATTCATAATTTTCAGCTTGTATGGTGTATTAACAGCTAATGAACTAGTGTCCGGAGAAAGTTAACATGTTAGATGCGTAAGTTAACAATTACATCATGTCAGCTTCACTTGTTAAATATGGAGAAAGTTTATAACATGTCTGGTTCACTTGTTAAATAATACCGTATACGGATAAAGTTAACATGTTATCATCAAGAGTTAACATATTTTTTACAAGGGTTAACATGTTATCAGTAAGGGTTAACATGTTAGCGAATAAAGTTAACTTGTTTGAAACAAGAGTTAACGTCTGCGACAAGAATTAACATGTATGTCACAAGAGTTAACATGTATGCCACAAGAGTTAACATGCTTGCGACAAAAGTTAACATGTTTTAGACAAGAGTTAACATATTAGCAATAAGAGTTAACATGATTGCAAAAAGAGTTAACATGTTACCCAACATGTTATTTACAAGAGTTAACATTTAATAGGTATAGCTTAATAACCTTTCAAAAATATTTTATATGTTAACTGTAACTTAACAATCTAACTGAGTAAATTTACAGACCAAGTAAGATTAGATTTTCATTATAATTCACATTGGCATAGATATATTTCAGTTCATGTACTATAATTCACATTGGCATAGATATATTTCAGTTCATGTACACAGTTAACTACAAAAGTATTACAAACACCCAAACATATTTCAGTGCATATACACCGGTAACTACAAGAGTCAACATGTTATCAACAAGGGTTAACATGTTATCGTCAAGAGTTTACTTTTTATCAACAATAGTTAACATGTTACTAACGAGAGTTAACATGTTATGTCAAAGAGTTAACATGTAATAGTTAACATGTTACTAACGAGAGTTAACATGTTATGTCAAAGAGTTAACATGTTATCAAAGAAAGTTAACATATTTCTGTCAAAGAGTTAACATGTTATCAAAGAAAGTTAACATATTTCCACACAAAGTTAACATATTATTAACAGGAGTTAACATATTATCGAAGAAAGTTAACATATGTCTGATAAAAGTTAACATATTATCCACAAGAGTTAACATGTTACCTAAGAAAGTTAACATATTTTCAACAAAAGTTAACATGTTATCAACAAGAGTTAACATGTTAGTAAAAAAAGTTAACATGTTTGCGACAAAAGTTAACATGTTTGCAGCAAGAGTTAACATGTTTGTAACAAGAGTTAACATGTTTTTTACAAGAGGTAACATGTTTACTACAAGAGTTAACATATTTACCAAAAGAGTTAACATGTTAGTTACAAAAGTTAACATGGTTACAACAAAAGTTAACATGTTTGCAACAAGAGTTAACATATTTTTCACAAGAGCTAACATGTTTGCCACAAGAGTTAACATGTTTGCCACAAGAGTTAACTTGTTTGCAACAAAAGTTAACATGTTTGCTAAAAGAGTTAACATATTAGCTAAAAGAGTTAACGTATTACCCAACATGTTATTTACAAGAGATAACATTTAATAGATATAGCTTAATAACCTTTCAAAAATACTTTATATGTTAACTGTAACTTAACAATTTAACTGAGTAACTTTACAGACCAAATAAGTTAACATTTTTATTATAATTCACATTGGCATAGAGTTTACTTTATATGTTTACTTGTTTTTCACAATAGTTAACATGTTCTCCACGAGAGTTAACATGTTATGACAAAGAGTTAACAGTTATTAAAGAAAGTTAACATATTTCCTACAAAAGTTAACATGTTATCAACAAGAGTTAACATGTTATCGATAAAAGTTAACATGTTTGCAACAAAAATTAACATGTTTGATACAAGAGTTAACATATTTGCCACAAGAGTTAACATGTTATCAACAAGAGTTAACATGTTTTCAACAAGAGTTAACATGTTTGCAGCAAGAGTTAACATGTTTGCCACAAGAGTTAACATATTAGCGTTAAGAGTTAACATGTTATCCATCATGTTATTTACAAGAGTTAACATGTAATAGGTTTAGCTTAATAACCTGTCAAGAAAATTTTATATGTTAACTGTAACTTAACAATCTAACTGAGTAACTTTACAGACCCAAGTAAGATAACATTTTCATTATAATTCACATTGGCATAGATATATTTCAGTTCATATAAACAGTTAACTACAAAAGTATTACAAACACCCAAACATATTTCAGTTCATATACACCGGTAACTACAAAAGTATTACAAACACCCAAATATGTTTCAGTTCATATAAACAGTTAACTACAAAAGTATTACATACACCCAAAAGTGTTTCGATAAATCCGCAACTCATATCAATCGGCGATCGGTTCATTGCAAGATGCGCGGTTGTGGCCTTCGGTGTGGCATCGAGAGCATTTCAAAGGTCGTTTGTACACTGTTCGGTTGTTGATACGTCGTGTTTTATTTCTCCCATTTCTTTTGATAGTATGTGGTGGAAGTAGATCGATCTCATCCCTTGGCACGCTTCGTTTCTCATAATCTGGTATAGGAAATAGAATCGGGTCATAGCTCTTTTTAAATGCTTCTATGGACATAAACCAATCGCAATATTGGTAAATGTCTCTCTTCATGTACGAGATGACTGCACATGCATGTTTACACGGAATCCGCATGACGTCCCAAGCACGGCAAGTGCATGTCTTCTTCTCCAAATCAACACGGGTAGTTTTATGTGCTTGCACTTCAAATATGTCAGCTGCAGCTTGCTTAACATCCAATGGACGACCTTTCTCTATATTTTCTTTAAGCACCATCTCTGCTTGTGGACAGAGATATCCAACCCATTTATCTGCAAGTAACCGGCGATTACTCATTCGGACCATTATCTGTTTACGGATATGCTCAACCATTTTTAGAATCCGTAGCATTCTAGCTTCCCTTATTCAATTATTAAAAGACTCAGCGACATTAGATGTTACGTGCCCATACCTGAAATTATATATAACTTTATAACAGGTCACAAATAAGGGTTAACAAATAATTGAATAGGGTTAACATAATATGAATTACAGTTAACAGTTTACAGATAAGAGTTAACAGGTTATAAATAAGGGATGACACAAATAATTGAATAGAGTTAATTTTTTTGTATTACAGTTAACATGTTTACATATAATAGTTAACATTTAACAGTTAACATGTTTTCTACAAGAGTTAACATGTTATCTACAAGAGTTAACATGTTATTAACAAGAGTTAACATGTTATCCACAAGAGTTAACATGTTAGCAACGAGACTCAACATATTATCAACAAGACTTAACATGTTATCAACTCTGATATAGTTAACAGCTCTGATATAGAATTTAACAAATCCAAAGATAACATGCTAAATAGCATAAGTTCATACATTAGCATAGATATAGAACAGCCAAATAACGTTACCTTATTCCCGGGAAGAATGCATTTGCCCATTGATCAGGAGAGTAGTTCATAGCAATGTTGTATGCCCTTGGATCCATGTCATATATCTCTTTCATGTACTCATTCCATTCTGCTATTGTGTATTTATAACAAGCACTTTGGAGTAAGTTCCCAAGAACATGAGTGTCCTTCGACTTCATACCCAAGTCCTTAAGCTTTAACCTGAAATTTTCAACAAGATGTAGAACACACCTCGAGTGTAGAGCTTCTGGAAAATACTCTTTTACTGATTCTTTAATTCCTTTGTCCGCATCAGAAATTATAACCAATTGGTGGGGAGGATTGTAAGGGTCAGCCCTCTCATAAAGTATGGACCATAGACCTTGGAGGAACCACTTCCAATTCATCAAATTCTCTTGATCACATATGCAATACGCTAAGGGAAATATACCTTGGTTCCCATCGTATGCTATGGCCGAGAGGAGAATACCTTTATATCGATCCTTCAAAAATGTACCGTCCAAAAATAGAAGGGGTCTGCATCCACTCAAGAAACCTTTGATGCATGCAGCATAACAAACAAAGAGTCTCGAAAACCTCCCCTCATTCTGGTCAACATGTATGTAACTGCCGGGATTTGTCTCTTTTACCATGCGCTCATACCTAGTCGTGTAAGAAGAAACAAACCAACAAGTTAACATGTTATCCGTGTAGCTTAACAAGCGACCAAAAAAAGCTAACACATTATTGGGGTAACTTAACAAAAGTTAACATGTTATTTACAAGAGTTAACATGTTAGTCGTGAAACTTAACATGTTATCAATGTTATCAATGAACTTAACAAGGAACATGTTAACTATTTGTTTTAACAAGCAAACTTTGGAACTTAACAAGTTAATAATAAAGCTCAGCATTTACCATCGTAGTTGATCATACGACTCATATATATCCCCGTAAAGCTTCTCCTGTGCTCTCTCTTTCCCCCACCATATCTTACTGTAATCAATTCTAAGGCCGTAGTTTGTGAGGAACTCCTTTTGCACATCAACGGGTCGGATTTCTGGACGGACCTTCAGGAGTGGTTGTAACTGTGTTGCAATAAATTTACGGGATGCCCTTGAACGGCCTGTATTTTGCCCATACTGCCCACAAGTATGTTCATTAACAAACTTCTTGATCGATAGCCTATTTTCATTCTTAACAGGTGAAGCAAACAACATCCATGGGCACTCGTAAGTTTCTTTATATCGGCAATATACACGGATACGTTTTGGTTCGTTCTTTTTAAACTCATAATCAAACATTTTGGCCAGAGAATAGTATGTCAGCGCCAACCTTAATTCTTCAGCACTTTCAAATTCTTGACCCTCTTCAGTTAATGCATTATGCCACCAACCAGGAATCATTACTGTGTTGTTAATAATGTCATCAGAACGCACTACACTGCTACCACTGGGATTATCAATTGGAATTCTTTCAGAACCATGGTTTGCGGCAGAAGTACTATCAATAAACTTTGGCTTCAGTGTATTCATAATGCTGCACAAATATAATTGGTTTTTCTTAAAATAACAAATAGGACTTGTACTTAAATAATGCAGTACCCTTAAGAGTTAACAAATATGCCCTAAAGCTTAACAACCTTCGGTAGAAAGTTAACATATATCAGTTAAAAGCTAACATTTAACCTGCTCTATGCAATTCATAAGTTTTCAAATAAATTAAGTGTAAATATAACTTACATTTCAGGAGGTTGCTTCGGGGTGTTCTCACATCTGGAAACATCTACATCTATAGTAGCTCGAATATGGATCTCCAGACACCCGATATTACGGTTGTGCTCCACCATACACTCCATATCATCCTCATTCTCGATCTCAAAACTCAGATCAGGGATCCTTTCAGATTTATAAACCATTGATAGCGCATCATAAGGAACCTTCAACATCTCAGCCACGTCGAACTTAAACTCAAAAAAAGAGGTTGCACAAGTTACCCTTGAGAACATTGCTCTCTCACCCAAGGAAACCATGCAAATAAGGGGGCTCTCCGCCATAAATGAAGGGGATTTAAGAGGAGTTATGAAGGGCACTTTAGGACAAGTAGGGGGCTGAAGATCATAAGCCCTAACCGCAAAGATCTGCCCTTTGCACCATAAATACACTCTCTTCAAAGCCGAGTGGGTTAACAGGATATATAACGGAGGGAGCGCGCCAAAATTTCCCCCCAAAACGGCCATCATCTCGTCTTAAATGCGACAGAGAGGTTTCGCCAGCGATCGGATCTCGTTTTCGAGGCACGGAGTTGAAGGCGGGGGTATTTTAGGGAGGCTGGGTGCAAATACGGGTGAGAGAACTGCTTTAAGGGCTCTGTTACAGTTTTTTGAATATTTAAGGGCTTAGCCACATGGGCCAAAGTACAGGGGGCTGGGCCACATTGTATTTTCAATTTTGGGGCCTTGAAGCAATTTTTCCTTGAGATTATTATTTGTTAGTATATACTACATTGGATTAGGATTAGAATAAATCATTAAATACAATTTAAAAATTAAAATTTGATTAGTGATATGATAGTTCAAACTTTATATGAGTATTTTTGTCAACCAATTTTTTTTTTCGAACTTATGCTTTTAAAGGGAGATATGATATAAGTTTGATTTGAACAGAATAAACAAAATACTAAAGATAGGAGATGTGACTATACAAATCAGGAAATTACGTTTGCAGCATTATTTTGGTGATCCGCACTAGCCGGTAGGGCAGTAGGTTTATTTCTAGCCTAATCACTACACTGCTTAATTGATAGGGCACCTGGATTAGTTAAATTATAATATTATAACAAATTGACTATTTCCAGTAGGGTTATTTCTAACCTGAAAGTGTTCACTTTCCTTGCGGATGGCATGAGCATTGATCGCATCTCAATTTTTGTTACAACCGTTGCTTTGTTTTTTTCAGTCCCAGCTTAAATCCTAGCTAAATTTTACAAGCCTTTAGGAATTTTTCAGCACAAAATAATTAAATACAATTAGACATTAAGATGGTGTTATTATAAGAAAACTAAATTATAGAATGTTAAACGTACATGTATATATTTTTGTGCGCAGCGGAAATTTCGGCAGCACCTCTGGTGCGCAAGGTGCACAACAAGAGATTAGATCACAACGAAATTCTCGTTTCTCAAAGGAAACAAGAACCAAAAGCCAGATATCTCATCAAAGTGAGATATCAGCTCTTTCTCTCATCAGTTCTAAGAATGAAATATCGAGAGAACCTACAAGCTATTACAAATCACGGCAAGAATACAAATTTTACGTGGTTCGACAAACTGCCTACGTCCACGGGGCAAGGAGGGGGAGATCTACTATTAGAGGGAGAGAATACAACTAAGGTTTACAATCACACAATCTAAATCCTAACACAAACTCTCAGATCCTTCATACAAATACTCTCTCAAGGGGATGGACAAATCAAAGAACAACTACAAAAGGACTTTGCTTTTTTTTTTTTGTGAATAGCCGCCAAAAAAATCCCTGTAGCCGCAATTAAAACAAACCCCTTTGCTCGCTTCTGCTCTTTTCTTCGTAGCCGCAAAAAACCGCAGCCAAAACCTCCTTACGCACAAAAACTTAGGAAGAAATCAAGCTATATATCAAGCTGATAATATCGGGTGGGCCTTTACGCTTGGGTATTGTCACGTTCTCACGCGGAAACAATTCACGCGGAAATCAAGCTATATATCAAGCCTTGTGGCCCCCACTCACTATCCGCGTTCACAATTCTCCACCTCGGTGAAGTTTTCCTAAAACTGAGCTGACACCAAAGTAACCAAATACCCACTTGTTGTGTCCAGTACGCCGTAAAACAATTCACAATAACATACTCAATGCACAACATGTCGGGCACCCGAACGAGAGTCCAAATAATCTCACCCCTATCAAAATCAACTAATCCAACCCGGCTGCATCATAAAGACTACCTACGTATCCTCTTGCCGAAGGAATCAAGCCTCACGTAGTTCATCCAATGGCCTCGAAAGGCCTCAACACCGAAGAATGTTCAAAAGTTCCAAACAATGACCAAACTTGACACCTGAAATAATTTTGGTCAACATATCTGCAGGGTTATCCTTCGTGTGGATCTTCTCCAACCTGACGTCTCCATCATCCAAAACGTCACGAACAAAGTGGAATCTGACATCGATGTGCTTCGTGCGCGCATGATAAACCTGGTTCTTCGCCAAATAGATAGCTGACATGCTATCACAATATACCCGAAGGGTCTCCTGTGAAATCCCCAAGTTCTCCAATAATCCCTACAACCACAAAGCCTCCTTCACAGCTTCAGTCAACGCCATATACTCTGCCTCCGTAGTGGAGAGAGCCACTGTAGACTGAAGTGTGCATCTCCAACATACCGGTGCTCCTGCTAGTGTAAACACATATCCGCTAGTAGACTGGCGCTTGTCCAGATCTCCCGCATAATCAGAATCCATGTAACCAATACAATCTTGCCCTGTCTTCTCATTCTTCTAAAATACCAAACCAATATCCATGGTACCTTTGATATACCGTAGAATTCACTTCACGGCCTCCCAATGACCCTTCCCGGGGTCGTGCATGTACCTGGATACCATGCTCACGGCCTGTGACAAATCTGGTGTTGTACACACCATCGCATACATCAAGCTACCCACAGCATTGGCATATGAAACTTTGGATATGTATTCCCGGTCCTCAACTGAAACATGTGATATCTTAGCTGATAGCTTAAAGTGGGGAGCTAATTGAGTACTCACCGCCTTGGCATTGCCATCATAACTGAATTTCTTCAGCATCTTCTGCAAGTAACTCCTCTGTGTCAACTTTAACCTCCCCTTCACCCTATCTCTCTCGATCTCCATACCCAATATCTTCTTTGCTTCTCCAAGATCCTTCATCTCAAATTCGGATGACAACTCCTTTTTCATCTTTATAATAGCTGAAGTATTCCTGGAAGCTATGAGCATATCGTCAACATATAACAGCAAATAGATATACTTACCATTCTGTAACTTGTGCATGTAAACACATGGGTCATATGAGCTCCTCATGTACCCTCGGCGAATCATAAAGCCGTCGAATCTCTTGTACCATTGTCGCGGTGATTGCTTCAATCCGTAAAAAGACTTCTTCAGCTTGCATACCAATTCTTCCTTTCCTACAGCTTTAAACCCCATAGGTTGTGTCATGTAGATCTCCTCTTCTAAATCTCCATATAGAAAGGTTATTTTCACATCCATCTGGACCAAATCCAAATCCACCTGTGTCACCAATGCCAATAAAATACGAATTGACGAATGCTTCACAACAGGTAAAAATACCTCGTTGTAATCAACGCCCTCTAGTTATGCATATCCCTTGGCAACCAATATGGCTTTGAATCTAATTTCCCCAATAGAAGATCCCTCTTTCTTTGCATACACCCACTTGCATCCAATAGCCTTCTTACCCTTCGGTAGCTTTGCAAGTTCTCAAGTGTCGTTCTTATGAAGAGACTGCATCTCTTCCTCCATGGCTTCCCTCCACCTATTCGAATCAGAGCTTGACTCTGCTTCCTTGAATGTAAAAGGAACCAAGTCATCAACGACTTCTGCTGATAAAGCATATGCAATCATGACATCGTCATATCTAGCTAGCCGACGAATGTTTCTTCTTGGTCTATTAGCTACAATAGACTCCTGAACATAACCCTATTCCTGAGTCCTAACATCCACTGTATCCTCTAAATGCCCGACTATCATGCCATCTCCTCCCAGTGTTACCTCTGTAGGAGCCTCGATGGATACAATGCTCTCTGGAGTGAGTGGAGTCACATCATCCTCCACCTGCTGCGATATCTCCTGAATTTGGTCTTCCTCCACCTGCTGAGGAACTTGAGGCTTCATCATGTACGCCTCGTCAAATGTGACATTCTTGCTAATAACTATTTTCTTGTCCTGTGGATCCCATAACTTGAAATATTTAACTCCATCTCTAAATCCCACAAAGACTGCTTTCCTCGCCCTCGGATTCAATTTATCATCATTGACATGGTAATAAGCTGGATACCCAAATATCCGAAATGACTCATAATCACTAGCTACCGAACCAGACCAACGCTCCAATGGAGTCTTCCCCTGTATCGCAGTGTATGACAACCTATTCACGAGATGACTCGCATAAACCAATGCTTCGGCCCAAAACGATCTAGGAAATCCACTCTGCATCATCATACATCGCATCTTCTCCAACAAGGTACGGTTTAATCTCTCAGCCACCACGTTCTGTTGCGGTGTCTCTCGAACTGTGAAGTGTCGTCTAATGCCGTGATCCTGGAAAAACTGCAGAAACGAATCACTCTTATACTCTTCACCGTTATCTGAACGTAGAGTCTTTACCTTTCTACCTGTTTGCAGCTCCACTTTCTTTTTTCACTCCACAAAAATATCCAGGACCTGATGTTTATGCTTCATCGGGTATACCCAATTCCTCCTGGAATAGTCATCAATGAAAATGACAAAATAGTTGGCCCCACCAAGTGATGTATGCTTGGAAGGGCCCCAAACATCTGTGTGAATATAGTCTAATATACCTTGGGTATTGTGAATAGCGGTGCCGAATTTCACTCTTGTCTTCTTTCCAAGTATGCAATGTTCACACAGCTCCATCTTGCAGGTCTTTGTACCCTTCAATAGCCCCTGCTTTGCTAATACCTGCATGGACTTATCACCAGTGTGTCCCAATCTCATATGCCATAAGCTCGTAGTATCTTCCTCTGTGGTAATCGAAGCTGTCAGACCCCCTGTTACTGTCTTGCCCTTCAAGTAGTAAATATTATTTTCCCTGACACCTCGCATCATCACTATGGACCCCTTTGTGACCTTCAGAATCGCATTCTCCAAGATCACCTTATAGCTAGCTGCCTCCAAAGTTCCAAGCGAAATGATATTCTTCGTCAATTGAGGAACGAATCTCACTTCCTTCAGCTCCCGAGTCACCCTGTCACACATCCGGATCCGTACTGTACCAATACCACCAATAGGACATACGTGATCATTACCCATGAGCACAACATCCTCTCTTTCCAACTCCTCAAAGCTGGAGAACCAATCTCTCCTAGGGCAAATATGGTATGTAGCACCAGAATCCATCATCCACTCCGTAGAGTCAGCGTAACAAACTGACGGTAATGCAGAGCATGAATAGCCTGAAGAATCAGTATCTGAATTGTCGTCATTAGCCTTGACAACATTTACTTCCGAAGCTTGTACAGCTTTCCCTTTATTCTTCCCAGCTTTATCTTTTAACTTTGGGCAGTCGTTCTTCTAATGTCCTTCTTCTTTGTAAAAGCGACACTGGTTCCTATCAACACTCTTATGGCCACCTCTATTCCTTGATTTTGAGCGGTTAAACTGGCGACGGTTTGGATCACAGCCTCGAACTGTTAATGCATCTCCTAATAACTTCTCGGAGGGTTCGCTATCACTCTTCCTCAACTCATAATTCACCAAAGCTGAGGTCACCTCATTGTAGCTAACCGTAGTTCTTCCATTTATCATAGTGAGAACAAAGGTACCAAAATTATCCTCTGGCAACGAACACAATAGTAGCATCGCCTTGTCTTCATCCTCAACCATGATATCTACATTGGTCATATCCGAAATTAGCTTCGTGAAGTTGTTAACATGCTCCCGAATGGAAACTCCTCTCTTCATCTTGAACTGGTAAAACCTCTTCTTCAAGTGAAGTCGATTCTCAATGATCTTCTTCAGATACTTCTCATTAAGTGTTTCCCACATTCTCTTCGCCGACGTCTCGTTCATTACGTCATAAATAAGATCCGGCGTCAAGCATGACCGAATAACTCCACAAGCCCTACTATTCATCTTCTTCCAAACCATGTCCTCCATATCAGCGGGTTTCTCTTGTAACTCAAGAGTCTCCTCCAAATTCTGTGCATCCAAGGCGTCCATCACCTGACACCTCCATAATCCGAAATTAATCTTGCCGTCGAACTTCGGAATATCAATCTTCGTGTTATTGATGCTCAGACTTTGTATCGCCTTCGAAAGAGACGATCCCGATGTGCTTGTTTCTCCCATGTTGTCGATCTAATTCTTCAAATAGGAATCCTTCAGCGAATCATTCGAACAAGCCCCAAACCAAAACCTGGGCTCTGATACCACTCAGACTATCCGCGTTCACATATATTTAATTAGAGATATTTAAAATTCTAATATTAAAAGGGGATGCAGCTCAAATGGCAGAACGCTCACCGAGCTTGCAAACATTATTAGGATTGATACCTCTCCATTTTTATTCCATTTTTATCTATTTAACATTTTTTCAGCATAGGCCCAAGTCCCTACTCAGCTGCAAAAATTTGGCAAGCCTTTAGGAGTTTTTCTGCCTAAGAGATTCCCTATGTATCCCATGGCTGTAAGCTAAGATTTACTTTGAGAAAAATTGTTGTCATTTTTCTAATCCCATGACGGCAATAAGAGATCCCCCAGGCCCCGTGTATGCCATGGCTGTAAGCTGAGATTTACTTTATTTACACTTTATTGCGCCACCACCCTGTGGCTTCTGAAAAATTGGTAGGCGCTCCATAAGTAGTACACCACGTCAATAGGAGGAAGGTGTTTAACACAAGAAAATTTATTTAATTCTATCACTCTCTTATTGGGAAGTGGTTTGTGCCACATGCCCTTCTCTTATTGGTATATATGGCGTAGTGCTCATGGAGATAATAACTAACAAACAAACAAGACGCTTGATGATGATATGTCAATAAAGAGATGGAGGAATTCAAGAGTATGACACCCTGAGCAACTTAAGTTCTTATTCTTAATTCAGCTTCTCTAGGTAAAACTTGTCCAATACATTTACTGGTAAAAGGTATGCATCTTGTGGAATAACACCAGAAGGGCATTATTTGCAATGTTCTACCAATCAAAATGTTTGCTTTCGTTCTCCCGAAACAAAATTTTCATTTTACATAATGAAACTTTTAGGGTCACTCAACAAGACCTATATGAGTAGCTTGTTGAAGCAGGTCGGATCCTCGCTGACTGACATCTGACCCGTGTTCTTGACAATCTTTATTCTAGCTTTTTTCTCGAGTTTCCTGCAATCATAAAAAAATGAGAAGCGCTAATTTAATAGTGGCATTAATTTTTCCTCCTTTTTAATGGAGCGTTGACTATATTAATTGCCTCAAAAATTGAAGGGAAAATTCTATAAGATAGCTATAATGTCCACAATATCTTCAAGATTAGAAATGCACCAATTAGAAATTTTTATATATAATTAATGGAGCAAAAAAGATTAGAGATAGACAACTTGATAATAAACAATTTGAAAAGAAACGATACTATAAAATTTAGTCGAGGGGATAGCCCTCAGCGCAACGAAATGGAAAAATAAGATTCATGTAACCAATCCAAAGATTTGGAATGTAAATTTTATTGTCGTTTCATTTTTTAATAATTTAGATATGTCATTGATATATATATGTTGATACTTGATAATGGAAAGCCATGAAAAATTCAAGAACGTGTGGAGCTCTTATGAATGTGAAATTAGAGTCAAAGAAGTGGGTGTAGAAACCTACACTTTAAGAATGCCTTACCCAATGGAAAAACAACGATCTTGATCACCTTACATATGATCAAAACATCCTAAAATATAAAACTATGTCTATTTACTATCTTAAGTAATTACTTCTTCCTCTAAAAATAATTTTCGAGAAAAATTCTTCCTTAAAGATAAATGACAAAAATTTAAGTAATGGTTATAATGTATATTATTCATATACCTGAGACAGTGGAGTGAGTTGAAATTGATCATTCTTGTTTTCGAGAGAGAGAGCCTTTATGATCTCCACTATATAAGACTTGTTACCTTCTGATTGAACTCAATTTCTCCCTGACGAGTGGTATCAATGCTAATATTATATATGGTCCAATGAATAGTTAATGCTCTTCTTATGATTGCCGATTTTTAGACTAAGGTCTATTTGCCCATAGATGGTGAGAAATGTTATTGATGTTTGTAGTCGCATCGTCTCCGTATTATTTGGTTTAGTCCCAAAGTCACGGATGGATGATGGCCTAGCTTGTCCATAGTACTGACAATGGTAACTGATGATAAAAGATATCGTATGAATGTGGAGCAACCATGGTGTGTTTCAAAGGTTGCTGGTTAAAGCCAAGTTAATGCATTGAAGGGTCTATACTTTTCATGGGTGATGGAGTATGTTGAGTTTAAAGTTCTTTTTGGAATATGCAAAAAGTTCTTTTGTGTCGTGTATTTAATAGTTTTTGGTCTCTATGTTATAGCAGCTAGAGATCTCTAGAATCCTTGTGTGTCTAGAATTCTCCTTGGTCCTTATTTTAAGTGTTTTAGTCTGCTAGAAAAGCGATAGCCCCAAGTTGTAGCCTCCGTACTCAGTTTGTGTTCTCAGTAAAGTCTCCATTCAGCTTTCATATCTGTAAGAGTCTTTTCTGGTTTGTTCTTCTTCTGTTGGTTTGATCTTGGGCAAGAGAAGGTTTCTCTGCTTTGTGTTCTTTATGGTATCAGAGCCCCAAGAGTGAGCGGGTGCAGTGTTAATTGCTTGGTTAAGAAGATCAACCAGTGTTGAAGAAGAGATGGAGTCGTCGAGTCGGAGCGTCGGTCTTGGCATAGAGCTGCTCAACCAATCAAATTACAAGATGTGGAAATCTTGTATGGAGTCTTATTTGGTTGGTGGAGAGTTGTGGACTATTGTTGGTGGAGAAAATACCGTCAGGCCAGAGGATAATGCAGAAAACGCTGAAGCATTGAAGAAGTGGACGATAGTGAATGCAAAGGCAGAGTTTGTGCTAAAGAAATCTATATCTCCCGCTTTGTTCGATCATATCATGAAGTGTACCTCAGCAAAAGATATTTGGGAGACTCTCAACAGGCTATTCAACAAGAAAGATATTGGTCGTCTGCAGATGTTGGAGGATGAGCTAGCAAATTCAAGCCAAGGTGATCTTCCAATCTCCCAATCCCTTTTAAAGATTAAAAACTTGTGTTCGGAGATTTCAATCTTGGATCCAGATGAACCTATTTCTGAAGCTTATGTGAGAAGGCATATTATTCGTGGGCTAAGGAAGGAGTACACTCCTTTTGTTACTTCGATTCAAGGATGGGATTGACAGCCCTCTCTGGAAGAGATCGAGAACCTTTTGTCTTCTCAAGAGTCTTTAGCACGACAGATGGCTGAGATGTCAACATCAGACAACCCCAACAACACAGAAGCACTTTTTGCTCATAGAAAAAAGAATTTCAGATTTGAAAAGGAGGAGTTTAAGAAGCATGACAATGATGGACCAGGTGAATCTTCCTCGCATTATAAGAAGAAGTTCAAGTGTCATCGATGTGGTAAACCTGGTCATATCAAAAGGTTCTGCACCGTGAAGCTTAATTCTAGAAACTATGTTAGGAAAAATGGTGGCTCTTATGACTCAAGTTGTGGTGACGAAGAAGACAACTAGGGGAAGTGTTTTCTGGTGGAATCGGAAACTCACAATGCCATGGCTTCCATTAATTTTCAGAATGATTGGTTGTGGATTCTGGTTGTGGCCATCATTTGACAGGTGATGAATCAAAGTTCTCCATATTACAACCACATACTGGCAATGAAGCTATGGTGACAGCAGACAATACAGTTCACAAGGTTGAGAATGAAGGCACGGTGGTCATCAATGATGGATGTAACGATTCTATCACCTTAAATAATGTTTTCCATGTTCCTGGCATGAAGAAAAAATTATTTTCAGTTCCAAATGCTGTGGATACTGGTTATAATGTCTTGTTTGGGCCACATGATGTTAAATTTCTTAAAAATGTTAAGTATATAAAGGCAGATGTCATGCATACTGGTAGAAGGGTGAAGGATACATTTGTGTTGTCTGCCTCTTCATCTTATATTGATAAAGTAAGTTGCAATGAGAATGTATCATTGTGGCATGCTAGATTGGGGCATGTGAACTTTGATAAGTTGAAAGCTATGGTTCGAAAGAATTTGGTGAATGTAGGCGTCGAAAATTGCCTATAGGTCTCCATGAACAGCTCGAAGCTAAGAGAAAACAATGAACATTACTATCCAAGTCACAGAAGCTGGATTGACATCGATGAACGCTTGAAGTGAATCGACAGACTATGTGAAGCAACGGAGTTTCAGAATAACGAGGACATGAACTGATCGGGAGCCCCGCGTCATTTACGAAAGGCGGAACACCCCTCGTGTCTCATTTATTCCACAGATGATTCAATCATCAGATCTTGTAGATCTCCTCGTCGGATTTCCAACGCACTTTGAATCACTCAAATCCGAGTTCGGATGAAGAAGTTATGACGAAAACGGACAAACGCACAAAACAGACTGTCTCAGCCTAAGCTAAGACACCCCGAGGTGTCTCGGCCCAAACGAGACACCCCAAGGTGTCTCGGCCTCGCTGAGACACCCGAGGGTGTCCTAGGCTCTAAAAATTAGATTTTTTATTGTTATGTAGTTTTAACCGTCTGGATTCCCCGGAGTCTATAAATACAGCCCCAGGGCCCTTATTTTTTCAGATCTGGAATTTTGGAGAATAGGCGAAGCATTGTCGGGCTGAAGATTAAAGGTGCACGAATTTCAGAGAGGAGGAGGAGAGATCGGATCGAGTTCGTCGGCATAAAGAAGAGGAGCTCGTCAGATCTACAGTTCTCGTGTTCGTTCCTTAAGATTACCCCGTTGTGGTGATCTTAAGAAGAGCAATTATCTCGCTATTACCGAGATAAGCGCTACGACTTCTTGATTCCTTCGCGAATCGAAGAAGCTCTGCCCAATTTTTTAGTAATCAGATCTGATCGACGGTGGTCCACGGATATCAACGTCCCCGTCACAGGCCAAGTTCTCACGCAAGCAGAAGACCGATAAACGATCTTTGTGCTGTTTGAAGAGAATTGTACTTTTGTTTTGTTTTCATTGTGTAAAAGTCTTATAAAAAGACTAATTTTTGTTTTCGTTGTAAACGTATGAAGTTTGTAATGAACACAGCAATGAATCAAACAATTTTCTCCGCAAACAAGCTGGCGACCACAGAGGCTGTCGTGACGCAGCCGACGATCAAGATCCCGGTGTTCGAAGAGGTCGAATACGAATTCGACCAGCAGAAATTCAAGGAATATATTTCCTCCTCCTCCTCCAGATCTTCTTCTTGCAAACACAGGAAAACCGCTACCGCGAAGAACGTGACATCAGATCCAAAAACTAAGGCTGATGATTTGAACCCGAATGCAGTGGAAGATTCCTCTCTGGCTTCCAAAGAAACCAGATCCAACGTTCGTGACAACTCCTCGAAAGTCAAGGAGTTTCCCGTTGAAAGTGCACCAGTGCTGACGAAGAGGGCTCGTCAAAGGCGCCGTCAACATCTCGCGCGTCAATTTGCCAAGGCTTTGGAGCCTGTTGACGGGATTTGCTATGATGCGGATCTGAAACTCAGAAGGCGCAAAGTGTTCCAGCAACCAGCTTTGGGAACCTCCTCCCAACCACCTACTAACGAATGGGTTCGTGTCAAATGAACTCGTTCAACTCTTGAGGAGCGTATCCATAAGCGTCGCATACTGTTAGTGCAGATGAGGATCCTTGTACGGAATGCACAGGAGTTACAGAAAGGAAAGGTGGTAAAAAAGCCATCATAATCTAAGCAAGTTTGGATGCCAAAGGTCAAATCAGCGCTTAAGGTAAAAGCATCCGAGGCTGCTCTCCGGCCTTTGTCAACTCCAGATCCCGCTCCTATTGCTCCCGTACCTCTGGTGAAGCCCTATGACAGCGTGGATCTCCCTAAATCTAGAGTCTCATTGAAGGATTGCATCGGTTCTCCACCCGAAGATCGAGGCAAAGCGCCTGTTAAGGAACGCTTAGGACCATTGAAGGAACCACGAGCGAACTGTAGGATCTGAAATAGATACACTAGAACACTAGAAGAGGGGTGAATAGTGTTCTTTTAAAATATATGCAAAGTAGATTATAAATTGCAAAGAAAAATAGCAATCTCAGGAATTCACAATCACAAACACAAAGTTTTATACTGGTTCCACCAACCCGGTGTACATCCAGTCCCCAAGCAAATCCCGCTTGAGATTTCCACTATGATTTTGAAACCTTACAAAATCAAAAGCAAACCTGACCAATTTGCAAGACCATGCAAATTACAACACCAATTGACAAGACTATACCAATTGCCACCCAATCTCTAAACCAAGAGATCAACCCTCTCAAACCCGAGAGAAATCCTTTTTGAAGCAAGAACACAATTGATCCTATAAGCCTTGAATGTGTAGTGAAGTGCTGCAGTGGCTTAGGATTCTTTTAACTCTTTGAATATTGTCTATACAATCTCTAAGAATGATTGAAACCAAGGCAATATCAGAAACTCTCTTTTTCTAAACACTTAGCATGAAAATCTGGAAAATTAGAGAGTGAATATGCACAAAATATTTGATCTTGCAAGTGTAAAACTTGGTTGTTGTTTTCTGATGTTTAAACCTATTTATAGCATCTGAAATGACATAATTTTAAACCCAATTAACGTCCACAAAACGGCTATAAACAGTCACTTATTTTAAACCTGAAATCTGGAAAAACTGCATCTGCAGTATGAGGTGATTTAAGATTTGTTGGAAAGCTCTTGAAGAGACCTACAACTTTGGTCTTTTGAGTTTTTCCAGATTCTAATTTCTAAGGGGTGTAAATAAAATGTTTTAAGACTCACTTAATATCTATAAACTCTAATGGCTAACATAGGGGATTTCTATTGTTAACCAACACACTAAGCATGTGTTAGTGTGTTCTAACACTATGTGTGTGCATGCGTGTGAGTGATCAAGGCTTGTACAATTTCTAAGCAAGGAAAATATAAAATTACATTTTGACAATAAAGTATATCTTCTTCTTTGCTTCATTTTGCCTTGAACTCATCTATGTCTTGAGTATCTCTTTGAATATAATTGTTGATATAGCTCTGATACTGCAAAACAAATGTTAGCACATAATATACACAACATATAATATTTGTTATCATCAAAACAAACTAATCTTGGGGTCAAGATTCTTAACACGAACATCCAGACTGGGGGTCGTACGTGACCTCCTAACAAAATGATTTCTACAACAGCCCGCTTGGGGGTGCGTGTAGAAAACCAGGAGCCCGTTATGGTTTCACCCTCACAAAGGTGTGATTCCAAACGTGTGACTCTTGCAGACGCCAACAAGGTAATGTTTACTCAGAAGGAAATGCAGCAGATAGACGAACGCGTTATACCTGAGAATTCATGTAAACAGTTGATAGGTTGCTCTGACCGTAACGTCGATGAGTTGTACTATCAGGCTGGAGGTACGAATAAATCTCGAAAGAGAAGTACCCGGGATGCGGACTCTCACTGTCCATGTACCAAACTAATCAGGGCAATTTTATCAGTATGTAGCTACCCCAAGACCGCTACACGGAGAGTCTCGGTATTCGAGAGTATCTCCGTAGAAGCATTGAAACCCAAATCAAGGCATTTTAGCAAGAGACGATTGACCAATCGAGATGACGAACTCCCAGCATTCACCATCAATATGGTCGATAAGGGGAAGTCTCCGATTACTTCTAACCCCAATTTCTCCCCAGGAAAGAAAGTCAATTCGGGAATAGCCCAACTAATATCTCGGCTTCAATTAGAAGCCGTCGGGCCTGAACAATCCGTAGTCATCGCCAACGTGGCTGATAAGGGGAAATCGACCCGACCTTCTAATTCGGACCCCCTCATATCACATCGTCTAACTCCGCTACGTGCAGGGACTACTAGGCGTAGAGACTATTTGAGGATGACCAGGGGACTATCCTCGGACGATGAAGCATCAGACGCTTGCTCGACAGTCGCTTCAGAAGCCACCGTATCCAGTCCCGGACAATCTCATGAGGTGTTTATGATCAATACCGAGGAAGTAGCCAAAATGGTTGATGATACTTTAGCTAAGCAGAAAGAAGCATTAAAAATCGAAATGGAAATGGCTATGCAGGAGATGAGACAAACGCACAACCAACAGATCCAAGCCTTGTCGAATCTGATAGGTGAATCCAGTCATCGTAACAATGCTAACAAAGCAGGTAGCGATTCAGACGTGGATGAATACGTCAATACTAATAACCCTTTCGTTGACCAGAATACAAGGGGTGGCCCTACTAAAAACAACGACGCTGGGGGTGGTCTCATTGAAAACGACAACACTAGGGGTGGCCCTGTTATTCCTCTCAGGAATCGTCCAAGATCTGATACAGATGAGGATAAGAAAATAAAGGACTTGGAGAGCAAAATCAATGCGTTGATGAGTGCTTAGGAGGTAAAGAAGTCCGTAATACCATGTCCATACCTGAGAGAATGGGAATCAATCCCATACCCGGCCAAATTTAACTTGATCAATTTCACACCGTTTGATGGAAAGGGTTCCCCTACTCAGCACTTAATATATTATAAGTCTCATTTGGGAATAATTTCCGGTAACGAGCCCTTGATGGTGCGGTCATTCGTTGGCACCCTTCGCGGGCCTGCCTTCGATTGGTACCGATGTCTCAATCCCGGAAGCATCAACAGCTAGGAGGACCTGGAGAGCATGTTCCTCGTTCATTTCTTCGATGATGATGCCGAGGTGTCAATCAGGACACTCTTCGATGAGAAACAGAAAGACGGAGAGTCAGTGGATACCTTCGTCAAACGCTTCCGTAATCAGGCAATGAACTGCAAGGATCCCATCATAGAGGAATTCGTCTTGCAGACCTGTCATAACAACTTGTCCATTAACATCTTGGACGTTATGGGAGTAGAGCCGCTCAATACCTGAAAAGAGTTGAAGGTATGCGGAGATCAGGCCAAACGCTTCCTCAGAAGGAAGAAGGTCGAAAGAAGGCAACCGATGGCTAACCCTCTGAATCCGAGTCTCGTTTCCCATGATGATGGGAAGACACCTACAACAGTTGTTGACGTTAATCAGATGTCGCAACAGCAACCCCGAAGACAACAGAAGACTTT